TCGGAGGGTGTTTTTTGACCCAAAATGAAACATTGAGTGGTCAAACGTCTAAAAAAACCAATACGGGTAAATTTCACAATACCGTCAAACGTTAGATGTATTTTATTTGCATTATGCCTTTTACTTTTATAAAAGCTTTTCTTCTTTCCAATTTTATTTTTAATTTAAAAGCTTTTACTTTTTTTTCTTTAAAAATACCAAGTATGATTTTTATCATGCTTAGCTGTTTTTCTCATTTAGCCGATGGCTTAATGATGACCAATTCGTACAATGAGAATTGAAAAAGCCCTTAATATCTTCGAATATCATTCTAAGTTTTCTAATAACTAGGATTGGCAATCGACATTTCCTTTAAAATCTTTACACATTCATTTAAAAAATTTGATGTTGGTCTAGATGTTGTTCTGATTTAAATTTGGGAAGAATAATCAACTGGTAGCAAATTCAACTTTCTAAGAACAAACTTAGCGACGATCCGCTAAGGGAAATTGAGATCAGATTTGATTCTCATTGAGACAATCTGAGTTAGACTTTTTTAGGATTTTAATTTGTTTTTGGTGCTCATGGTGATAGCTGTAGTTAATCTGAGAATTGACTGAATTTCAAAGATTGCCTTAGGTTGGGCCTTGTAAATTGTAACCGACATGAATCTTAAAGTAAAACCTCTTTCGATGATCAAAACAAATTAAGGCAAAATAAAGCTGGAGGCTATTTATTCAACTGATTTCTTTCTCTCAACACTTACTTTCGTTATTTCTCTAAGTTTAATTTTCACATTTTAATCTTTTTTATTTATTTTCTATTTTACTCTTTCAATCCAAATTACCCCCAATTTTATTAACTTTCTTACAAAGTCATAATCAAAACCTCTTTACATCAGAAGCTCTTTAGTCCCTATGGATCAACCCTTCTTCTCTTTGTTATGCTTAATTCTATTTATTTTTGAGATTAAAGATTATTTATTTGACAATTTATGACGCTTGTCAAATTGGGCCATTGTCGGGGACTTCGACAAAGTTATTGATTTAGTTTGTGTTGATTTATGACCAAAAAAATTCCTGGAGAGCTCGTAGATTTTGACCCAAAGATCAAAGCACTAGCTCAAAGAATACACATACAAATGCTTTGACAAAAGAGACAACAATAGTCGGTCCCACGATCCAACAATTGGCTGCGGCTATTGCAGTACAACAACCATTACGCATCGTATTCCCTCATGGAGAAACTCCATTTCAACTGAAAACAGATGATAACTCCGTAAAAGATTATGTTTTGTGTATTTTTACTTAAGTTATTGAATGTCTAAAAGCCATTGCTTTAGCATTTTAGTTGCATTTAATTGTATTTAGGACACATGAACATGTTGTGGATAAGTTTTGCCAAGGCAAAGTTTATTTGAGTAATCTGATTCTGCTGAGGGGAAAGGTTGTTTGTTGGCTATAATGATGCATGAAATAACTAAGGAATAATTCATTTGGCGAGAAAAAATTAATTTGCTAGGGCTCGATGAACATAAGAAGACGACAAAGAGGAACAATTTTTCTTGCCAAGGAGAGTTTCATCTTACAAGTCTGACGCAGCAGCTGACGTCACTTGGCCAGCTGTCCAATCAATCTCACGTGCAATCAGGCTCTCATCAAGGAATTTGAGACCACTATCAGCTGTTGTTTATTCACGCAAAGTGGTTGAAACTAAGGGTATTTAGGGAGTTTCCAAGGGTACTAAACCCTAGAAATTCCCACTATAAATACCCTATTATATCTCTTCATAAAGGGGAATTTTTGGAAAAGAGATAATACACCCTAGGCTTGGAGTAAGCGGCTATAACACTTCACTTTTCCACCGTCCTCCACTCGATCGTCCTTGGTTCCTTCCATAGTCGGGATTCATTGGAGCGGCGACCATGCCCTCGAGAGAGGATGGTCGCCAGATCAGTAATGGTGGTGGTCCAAATGTCATGACAGAGCTTTGTTTTGGGAGTTGTTCTTCCTTTGTTCTTTATGTCCATATCACTTAAAGGGCTTGTACTTAAAGATTGATTTTGGGATGATATTTACCACACCATAAATTGTTTTACTTGTTGTTGGATAATGCTTTGTTGATACTTTATTTGATTGTTAATGATTGATGTCATTTGTTTATGCAAAGTGTTGTTTTGTTTATTGTTTTAATATTTTACCTTGACACTGTAAGAGCTTTTGAGAGATTGCCTGGTGCCTCGGTAAAACATACCTAGTCTTTGTAAGAACTTTTAAGAGATTGTCATTTTTTCTAGGAGTTGATACCTAATACGAGAGAGTTAGGTTATATATAAGTGGACAAGGGAAATAATCCAGGATGGTGAGGTTCTAATCTGCTTAGAGATAAGGAGAGGGTTTTATTCAACTAAAAGGGTGAATGCTTGAGTATGATAGGCTAAAAGCTACGGTTTACGCTGAGGAGTATTGCCACAACAACAGTTTGACAAACCAAGGGTTATAGTTCACGCTGAGTAGTATTACCGTAGCAAAAATTCTAGGAACACTCTTGTAAATCCTTTCAGCAGTATAGGCATACCATACTAAATCATCCTAGACATATAATAATCTCGCCATAGAAAAACAAATCCAACCCAAGTTCTCCATTAGAAGTCTGAATGTGTGAGGTTTTTCAGATTATATTAAGCTCAACATTTTTATTCGCTTCGACAACTTTTATTTGTTACCTTTGCATATCTTTATTGCCTCAACCAAACTTTTCTACTCACTTAACTTCATAATTTTTCTCACCTCAACAATACTTTTCATTTTGTTTACATCATTTGTTACTGCTTACTTTTCGTTTTAGATAAGAATCTTAGGAGTAACTAGTGACACTTAGTTCTAGCTGTAGCAAACATAAAAAATGTTGCACCAATCCCTGTGGAGACGATAACTCACTTACTACTATATTACTTACATCGATTGTGTATTCTTCTATAGATTTACATGCTATAACACACACATTTACACGAGATCAAGTTTTTGGTGTTGTTGCCGGGGACTGGCAACTGGAGGAATTTTGATAATTTTTGCCATAGCAACTTTTATTTTATTGTTATATTTTCTTTATTTATTTTAGTTTTACTTATTTGTTTTCTGATTTTCTTTTGTATGTTTTTTGTCATTGCATGACCAGGAGATCTGCTGACAAACCATTATTATAATTTGACCATGAGATCGAGCATTTATTCATACAAAAGTAATGTGCTTAGCATGCTAGAGACTATATGAATCGATTGCAGTTTCAGGTTGACAACCCTAGGAAAGATCAGGTAGTTCCTGATATCGCGACAAATAATATTCCCAAAAATGTTTCAAGATCACGAGCTATACGAGATCACTTAAATCCAATTCTTGATGATCTTAAACTTGGAATCATGGAACAGAAAATACAGGCAACTCACTTTGAACTCAAACAAGTGATGTTCAACATGCTCAATTCTATCGGTCAGTTTGGAGGCTTGCCTAATGAAGATGCTAGACAACATGTACGTACTTTACTTGAAGTGTGCGACTCGTTTAGGTAACAAGATGTGCATGAGGTCCTGCTGAAGCTAAAATTATTCCCTTACTGTTCGCACGGCTGAGTGGAGTCTATTATGGCTCAATAGAATCTTGAGTTGACTTATGCAAAAGTTTTCTGCTTCGATATAACCTACCCAACATGAACACCTAGCTCCGTAATGACATTGCAAGTTTTCACCAAGGCGATGATGAATCTATGTAGGAGTGATAGGACATATATAAAAGTTTTCTTCATAAATGCACCAACCATGGATTCCATGACTGGACTCATGTCGTCATGTTCTCTATGGTGTTAACTCACCTACTCACATGATGTTGGATGCTTCGGCGAATGGTAATTTACTTGAAAAATCACCCTAGGAAGCCTTTGATATCCTTGATCAGATAGCTAACAACGACTATCAATTCCCCTCTGCAAGGTTTGGAACCGATAGGAAAATATCTGGGGCGTATGAACTTGATGGTAAGGATTCAGTTTCTACCCAACTTTATGCCATAACTAACATGCTAAAAAATTTGCAGCGTTTCGGTGAGGTGAAAGAAGTCAAGGCAACTAACTCAACATGCATTCTCTGCAGTGGCAACCATCATGAGAGTGAATGCCCATAAAAGTAGAAGTTCATTAATTTCATGGGTAATTTTAATAAAAGCAATAACAACCCCTACTCTAATACATACAATCCTTGATGGCGAGAATATCCAAATTTTTATTTGGTAATCGTGGGAACAAAAACAACTATGCAGGATAGGCCACATCAAAATGCCTCTTAACATTTAAGTTTATAACATCAACAGATGAATAAAAATAGAGATAATGCATTCTCCTTAAATTCTAACTCCCTTGAAGCTTCATTATAAAAATTTATAGCCTCGATAAAGGATTTCATGGCTTCAACAAAGACCTTAATACATGAACACTCATCGACAATCAACAATCAAAGTGCTTTGTCACAAAGCCATACAGCTCTATTACAAAGCCATAGTTTATCAATGAGAGCATTAGAGAATCAAGTGGGCCAAATCGCCATAATAATACATTCTCTCTCGCAAGGAAGTCTCCCTAGTGATACTGAGGTCACCGAGCCTCATAGAAAGGAGCAATGCAGTGTGCTTACACCTAGGAGTGGTACCCAAATTAATCTCTATGATAAGTTTGGGGGAAAGAAGAAAGATATTTCTCGCCAAGACACTACACATAAAGAACCATAAGGTCGAGTTGAACATGATGAACAAGAAGACTTTCTTGAGGAGAAGGAAAAGGACGAGGGGTCAACAAGTCAACCTAATGAGGGTAGAAAATTTATTGCCAAGGCAAAAGTTTTACCCCCACCTGTAGCAAATGAAATCAGGCCCCACTGCCTTTCCCTCAACGGTTGCGAGATCCAGTTCAAAAAGTTTGTTGGTGTCCTTGATAAGTTGTATATCAATGTCCCACTACTCGAAGCTATTGATTAGATGCCTTCTTACACCAAGTTCTTGAAGGATATTGTCACGAAGAAGAGGAAGCTGGAAAGAATAGTACATGTTTCCACGGCAACAAAATATAGTTTGACACTGAGTAAACTTCTATTGAAGAAAAAAGATCCTAGAAGTTTTGTTATACCATGCTCCATCGATGATAAGTATATTGGGAGAGCCCTTTGTGACTTGGGGTCAAGCGTAAGCATGATGCCCAAGTCCATATTTTTGAAACTAATTGGCATGGGTAATTCTCAACCAACCACCATGATTTTGCAACTGGCTGGCCGATCACATGTTCGTCCCGAGGGAAAAATTGAGGATGTGATAGCTAAAGTGGACAAGTTTGTCTTTCTAATAGATTTCCTTATTTTAGAGTGCGAGACCGATGAAAATGCACCTATTATTCTTGGGTGTCCCTCTTGGCCATTGCCATTGAACGCATCTTAATAGATTGCGAGAAAGGAGAGTTTACGATGAGGGTGGCTGGTCAAAGCGTAACTATCAATGTCTTCAACACTCTTAAATATGTTGATGATTATTAAGAATGCCATTGCAATGGAGACATGGAGCCATATGAAGAAGACGAGACATAATTTTTTGGTCAACGTAAAAATTTACACCTATAAGAATATGATACTCTATGAAAAGATAACCTTGCTCAGATACAGGAGTGTAAAATTTTTTACCCCGACGATATTTTTCAGCTAGAGAGAAATAATAATTTTGGCCCAAGTGAATTTTTTCAGAATGAGGTAGGCAAAAATATTTGCTCAGGAATTTTTTTTCAATTGAGACAAACATAGGTGAAACACCCATTTCCTGTATACGTCCCCGTACACGAGTCACAGATGTCACATGACTTATAAAATATTTTCGTACTTGAAAGCCTGTAAAATTTTGTTTCTTTAAATAAACAGTTTAATAGTATAGTTTACAAAACGTTCTTCAAATACTAATATATAAAATAACATTTAAAAATTCATCAAACAATAGTTTAAGTCAAACTAATATAATACTACAACCAAATACCAAGTATCTTATCAAAGCATCACACCATATCTAAGTACATGCCAACTAGTAATATCAAAATAAACATCTAGAGGTGTTATAGTATTACTGATGAGGCAATCCTTGAGAGATGATATCAATTGTACTCCTTACTCCGATTATACTCGATTACATATGCATGAAACCATCACATGCTAAGTATTCAGTTAGTGAGGCATAATAATATAAATGAGGTGTAACCAAAACATAAGTATACCATAAAATATCAAAATACAAATTTAATCGTATAAATCATAATAATACATAAAACTGACTTAGTTAACCAAGTTTCTTACACATACCATGCAAAAAAATATATAATATTCCTAGCATACCCATCAATAAGTATTTTCCAAAATATACATTTATTGCCCAATGTATGTAACACCATCTCCTGTAAACCTTTTCGTATACGAGATACAAATGTCACATCACTTTTAAAATAGTTTCTTTTTGTAAAACATTTTAATTTACTTATAATAAAACATGCATTAAACTTAAATAGACAAACAAAAAGAGATGTTCAAACACTTAAACGATTTACAATAGTTTAATTCAAATAAATCAAAAGTATACATGTATGTCACTAAAATAAATCAAAAGTATACATGTATGTCATATTGTTACTGACGAGACGACTCTAGCTTTGATGTTCGATGATCTCCTTACTCAGCTTGTATTAAATCTACGCGTGAAATAAACACACTTAAATATTACTTAGTGAGGCAAAACTAACCATACAATGAAATCATTATATCATTATTTATTATCGATCAAATACCAATTCATTACTTTCCAGTCATGATCATTTCTTTGTAATGCACCTTTAGTTCCCTTACAGTCATTCATAAACATATTATGAATTTTGTGGTTTGCACACATTGTGCCGAAATGGTTATTCATCAACATATGATGAATTCCGTACTTTGCACACTTAGTGCCGAAACGGTTATTCATCAACATATGATGAATTCCATGATTTGCACACTTAATGCCGAAACGGTTATTCATCAACATATGATGAATTATATGATTTGCACACTTAGTACCGTAATGGTTATTCATCAACATATGATGAATTCCGTGATTTGTACACTTATTGCCGAAACGGTTATTCACCAACATATGATGAATTTCGTGATTTGTACACTTAGCGCCGAAACTGTTATTCATCAACATATGATGAATTCTGTGATTTGCACACTTAGTGCAGAAATGGTTATTCATGAATATATGATGAATTCCGTGATTTCCACACTTAGTGCCTATTTGGTAATCACCACACACATATTAATAAATCATACATATATGACTAGTATAACATATAGTTATACAATATATAGTTACACAATTAAATGCACTTTCCTGGCTTTCCTCGCTATTGTATCCAAAATGCAAAGCTGATTACTCATGTTCTTGACCTTTGCCCTTCGTTTTGCTTGTCTTGGGAGCTTGGTTTCGATCTACTAAAGCATCGATTAAAAACACCTACCATGTCAATTTTTAGTATATTTCCTAGCAATTATAATTAAACAATACTCAGAAGGACATATCATTAACTTTCTATAACAATAGCAGTATGTTTTTAATATTTCTAGCTCAATAGTATCGATACCCCCACCATGGTATCGATACTACTATACTATGGTACTGATACTTTATTATGGTACCGATACCATTTTTTCATTCTGTGATCAATGGTATCGAAACCATCCTTATAGTATCGATACTCCCCTCTTGGTATGGATACCACTTGAATTGGTATCGATACAAATCAGCAGATTCTATTGATTTTAAGCCTATAGTATCGGTATTGTTCTATCAGTAACGATACCCATGCCCATAATTTCCAGTTTTCAACCCGATTATCACCCAAATGGGGTCATGTTTACACCATACAATACTACTAAACTCTTCTTTACATATCAATACTAACTTTCCTTCATTTAGTTTCTTAAAACATCTAAAATGTTCAAAGAACATTCAATTCTAAGAATCACACCACTTTTTCTAATATGTTCTTAATCTTATCCAATGATTCTAATCTTTGATTTACCTCTTTGACAAGTCAAATCTACCAGTAAACATCCATAAACACTCATATATTAACATATGATTTCAAAACCCATTTTCAAAAATCTTTATTATTTCCTCTATCTCATAGTTTTAATCCCATAAAACTCTTTATTAAGCTTCTGTCATACTCAATGCTTCAAAAACCATCCAAAAATGAAAGGATAAACTAGCCATATGAAATATCACCTTTGAGCTATTGAGGAGAGCTTTTCCACGAGGAAAGAAGAAGAAAATATAGATGACTTTTGTGGTTACCTATTTTCCCTTTTCCCCCTTTTCTTTAATACCTTATTAGAATGAATTTTAAATTTATTTTAATTTAAACGACCAAAATGCCCTTTTAATCATCCATTGAAACAATTTAGTCTAAACGACTAATCCAAATCATTCTAATATTTTATCATTTAATCGAATAAATCCTCATATTTTTAAATCCTTTCAATAAAGTCCCTAATTCAATATTTAGGGTATTACAATTTATGTCAAATGAGAATACAAGGTATATGAGTTGAACAAAAGTGTTATACACAAGCATAGGTTCTGTAGTGACAACAACACTATACTAAAATAACAAAATGGTAATTCACAAACTCATTATGAATACCATGGATGCACACATAGTGTCAAAAGCACACAAATTACTGATATGAAAATGCAACATATGCTTTAAACAAAAGCGATCGATAATCATCATACACAAAGTATGTCGAAATGCATCTACGACTCTCAATGCACATACAATAGGCCTTTAAATCAAATTCACAGATTAAACATTTATTCTGATATATCAATAGCTGTTAAAATAATATAAAAGTTCATCCATCTATTTTAGGGTAGTTTATACCCTAAAATTATTTGTAAAATCATTTTTATAAACTTTATGAAAATGCTTCAAAATAAGGTAAATCATGATTTTATAAAAACATTAAAGGTTGACTCATAGCAAACCATCCTCATATCATATAAGTATATAATAAATGCATTCATGTAATATGCCTTACTATCGAAATCAAATTATTCTTGAACTTTTTCCTTGCCTTTAGCTTTGCTCGTATCACGAGTTTAACCACGATCTACGCAAACATCCATACAATGCATATAAAATTATGAAATACAATGTTAGTATCCTTACTAACATTTTTACAAAATAATAAAAATGCTCAAAAGTACTATTATTTATGAATTCTTTTAAAATTTATCTTAACTTTTCCTTTTTATTCAAAATATGCCCTTGTCATAAGTTCTTCAATCCAAGCCCAATTAAGCCTAATAAAATTCCAGCATTTAATTTCCAGCTCAATACCTCAACAATACCATAATTACCACTTCATCCACTAACTTTCTCAAATATTCTCCATTTTCACTTAAACTTTGCCATCTTTCCAAAATGGCTTAATTTCACATTCTAAATTCAATTTCAGCCCTCAAACAGTAATTTCCAGTAATGTATACAATTATTGAGTAACTACACAATTAACCCATAACTTTTCAAAATTGCAAAATAGGTCTCTCAACTTTCAAAAAATTACAAAATGACCCAAAAGTTTTCTAAGGCTTGTAGAACCTTCCAAATATCACTTCTAATCCATTGTAATTTTTCCACAACTTTTCCCAACTTATTTCTTCATGGCCGAAAGCTTTAGGGGTACATTTCTCATGATTTTCACTTGATTAAACTTTTTAAGACCCTTAGAATCAAAACCTTAACTTAACTTTATCAAAATACATCTTTCCCCTAAAACTAGGGTTTGGCCGAATTCAACATAGGCTTATATAGCCATGTACAAGTGATTTTAACCAACAATCATGCTTGTATATGATTCTACAAAAAAATCATTCATCAATTTCATAAACCCTAATGTGAACACAAACCCTAAAATTTGGGATCTTTGAACCCAAACCAAATTAGCAAGTAATAATTGTACCAAATGATAGTGTTTTTCGTGTAGAACAACTTCTATTTCACGGCACGATCCAAAAACCAAAGGAAATTGCTCAAATATTAAAAATAAAAATTTCCTTACGTTAGAATGGTGTCCATGGCTTGGATCTAAAAATAGGTTAAGTTTCATGAAATTCTAAACTTTAATTTCATGTTAATTTAGTCATATTTAAGTTTAAATGAATATTAAATTCATTTAATTGGAAAAGACCATTTCACCCTTAAGCTTATCATCTTCCAAAAGTCAAAGATGAATTAATTATTTCACCTTTTACCATTTTGCCTATGCAACTTTCCAAAAATTGTAATCTTGCCACTTTAATCCAACTATCCAAATTTAACATGGAATTAAATCCTTAAATCCAATGGTTTATATTATTTT